ACCAGAAAAGACAAATGTTTTTTTTTTTTTTTTTTTTTAATCCTAAAAAAAAAAAAAAAGTTTCTACAATTGAAAACAAGCCATGACGAACACAGCTGCTGGAAAGCAGCCCAGGGCCCAGCCCGGGTCCCACCGACTCCAGGGAAGGTGCAATTAGGTGCCCCAAGCAGCCCCCACCACTCTGTGTCCCCCCCGGTTCCTCGGTCCGGGGTGCATCTGCACCCACCCCTGCAAGCGGGTGTCCCCCGGGGGGCTGGGGTGCTGCCGGTGCGCCGTTTCGACCGGACCCGTGCCGGGGACAGAGTCGGTGGCTCATGAGGTTGCAACCGGGAAATCCGTGCCGCAAAACCAAGGTGCTGGGATGGGCGAGAAGACAGCGAGCCTGCAAGGGGCTCGCCACCCTCCAGCCCTCGCGCCAGAGAAACTAGAAACCCAAACACAGAAAGTTTATATGTATATATATATATATATAAAAAATAGATGTGCATAGTTGTAGCGTTGATACTGATGGTTAAAAAACAGACACCAGGCTGGTCCTGCACGATCCACGTGCAGCCCTACATTCTGCTGAGAGATTCCCGGTCCGGCAGGTACGTCTGCGGGGTGGGTGCTGCCCCGGGGCCGCTGCAGCGCTGGTCACATCGCAGACTTCATCTCCCACTCCTGGAGAGCGGCCGAGACAGGTGGTCAACCCCTCCACGTCCCAGCGCCACGCGTGGTACCCGGCTCACCTTAACTCTGCCTGCCCCACGCAGGTCCCGGCCGGTACCTTTCTCTTCTGCAGCACTTTTCCCTTCTCGACGATGACCGGGGAGGGAGATGGCTTCAGGGCGCTCTTCGCCGACGCGGTGCGCTTCAACAGCGGCGTGAGGAATGAGCCCTGTTGGAAAAATGGAGTGGAGACAGGGTGATGCCTGCCTTCCCGAACCCTTCACACTCCCTGCAGCCCGTGCCTTCCCCAGTGCCCATCCCCGGTGCCCCTCTACCTCGGAGCCAGCCGAGCTGGCCGTGGCGGTGATGTGGCCCTTCAGTGACTTGCCGATGGCCAGCAGGTTCATCTCGGAGCCAGCTTTCAGCCTGCCCTTCATGCGGCAGGCCCTCTCCAGCTGCCCCACCTTCTCCTCCAGCTTGGGGAAGGCTCTCTTCCCTGCAAGGACAGCAGGGGCACTGCCAAGCCCAGCCACCCCTTGACCCTGCCGGCTGCTCGGACAAGGGCCAGGCACCCCCCGACACAGGGGTAGAGCCCCTCTGCAGTCCTACCGATGAGGACATCCAGCCCGTCCCGAGTCCCTTTCCTCTCAGGCAGCGTCAGGGTGCGCTGGGACCGGGAGAGATCCCTGCTCCGGAGCTTGGGGCTCACCTTCGCCCGCTGCGGGCTGGCAGCCCTGCCCCGGAGAGCTGCTGCTGATGCTGAAGAGGAAGGGCAGAGGAAGGATGCTCGGGAAGAAGGGCAGAGGAATCACAGCACAACACCGTGCTCGTGGGCACTGCAGCCTCCATCCCAGCATGGGGGGACCCCGCTGCTCCCCTGGGTGAAGCATCCAGCCCCTGCTCACCTGCCTGCGAGGGCAGGGTGCTGCCCGGGGCGTTGCTGCAGGCACCACTGGGCAGCGCAGACACCGGTCTCTTGCGCTGCCCTTGCACTGCTCGGTCCAAGCTCTGCTGCTGCAGAAGGAAGCCCGGGAGAAGCCCGTGGGCAAGCGGACGGTGGGAGCCCATCCTGCTCGCCCTGGGGCTCGCATGGGGGGCCAAGGTGCATCAGTGGAGGGTACCAGCTGCTGCAGCCGCTCCATGTTGGAGTAGAGGTGCTTGGGGGCCTCGGCTGGCGGGAGCTGCCCGAAGGGGTCATCCATGTAGGCGTTGGGGGTCGGGACACGGCGGAGCAGCAGCCCGCTGCAAGCAGGAGGGGGGTCCCATTACTGCCCACAACAGAGATGGAAGGCTTGGGCCGGCCATGTCCCGGCCAGTGTCTCCTTACCCCGCAGCGGGGCAGCTGTTGGCATCGCCCAGCCTGGGGGTCTCGGTGCGGGGGCTGTCGCCAGCCGGCTCCCCTCCTCCCCTGGCCTGCAGGGTCTTCAGCCAGGCTTCCCTCTCCTCATCCGAACGGGTCTGGCGTGGGGCAGAGGGTCCGGGCTCAGCGGGTCCCCCTCGTCGAGGGATGTGGGGGGCTCGGGGGGGCCGCGGTGGTTTCTCACCTGCAGCAGGGCAAGCTCCCGGCCCCGCTGGGCGATGCGGATGCGGAGGCGCTGCGGGGA